ATGGATGGAAGGATAAATGCACAGATACATATTTATTACAGTCCTAACAGCACAGGTCAGTCAGTGACGAGTGTTTGTTGTGTTCAGTCTTTAGCAGGTTTTGCGCTGGTCGTCAGCAGTGATGGGATGGTCTTCTACGCCTCCTCCACCATAGTCGACTATCTGGGCTTCCACCAGGTGAGCATCACTTACCAACACCTGACACACACTTCAGACACTTACAGTGAAACGTTATGTCAAGTCCTGGTAAGAGAGTGTGTGTGTGTGTGTGAACTAGTGTGAGTGTGTGTCTGAATCGCAGGTTGTTGTGGTAAATCTGTGTGAGTTTTGAGGAGCACCACTACAGTAACTCTCTCAGACGGCAGCGCGAGCGTCTCTGTGTCAATTATCCTCTGAAGAACAATGACTTTTGTCTCAGAAGCACCAGGTTATTTTCTGCTTTTAGCAGGCGGCTCTCACGCGGTCAGTCATACGGAACTGCTGCTTTACAAGGCAAATGTTCAGAGAGCTTTGCGTGCCTGTCGTATGGAAAATACGGGTCAGGCTCCAGTATTACAGAAAGAATCTGTAATTTCTGACAAAAGCAAAGCAGAGGAAGAATTACACATGCAGGCTTATTTTGGAAGAGCTGGGGTCTGGTGCGCTTCAGTGTCACGCGACGTTTAACACATAATGACCCGTGGCTTTAGACAGACATCCAGGAATCTGAGCAGTCTGACCACAATAAAGCTACAGATTCCACACGAGAGGCCAATGGTTTACATACACACACACACACACACACACACACACACACAAACACAATGAGAAATGTGGTCAAGTGCAGACAGACATGATGACTAATTGCTGCTGACACACAACTGCAACAGCATTAAAGTGACTTCTGAGTCTGCGCGATCGTGAATCACGAATCGTGACTGGTGCACTTAACCAGTCTGTCATGACAAACACAGCATGAATTAATAACTCCAGGTCCACAGCACATCGAGGACTCACAGAAAACATGCCTGGGGGTAAACTGTCACGTGAATGGCCAAATGTAAGCAGAAAACACACATTATGCTAAAAAGTTCCCAGAGTTCTCCTGCTTCCTAAACCGCTGCTTTATCCTTCGCGTGCGCTGCTTACTGGACAGCACCTGCGGATTCCTGGTGAGGGACTCCTTCAGCTTTCGGTGCACAGGCCACAATCACAGTGTGTGTGACGGGAGACTTGTGTTATGCTTTTCATAACCCTTTGACTGAAGAGCAACTCCTAACAGTGTTTGCCATGAGATTTTTCCGTAAATACATTCCACAGAGAAATAATTTCAGACCGGTTTCATGGTTTCTGCTCGAGTTTGAGATCTCAGGGTGTGATTTGGCTTTGTGTGCTTCAGGAAAGACTGTGTTTGCTGCACATGAACAGGGTTAGACAGCTGCTCTTGACGTTAATGTCCTGAAGATGTTACCGTACATAATCACTCACAACTTTAAAGGGTTAGTTCACCCAAAAATTAAAATTAACCCATAAATTACTCACCCTCAAGGCATCCTAGGTGTATATGACTTTCTTCTTTCAGACGAATCCAGTCGGAGTTATATTAAAAATTGTCTTTTATCTTTCAAGCTGTTTAATGGCACTCAGCGGGTGTTGCATGCTTCAGTCCAAAATAAGTGAAATAAAAAGTGCCCATCCATAAAAAAAGTGTCTCACACGGCTCCGGGCGGTGAACAAAGGCCTCCTTTAGCGAATTGATGCGTTTTTGTAAGAAAAATATCCATATTCAGAACGTAATAATCACTTTAATGTAGCTTGCGCTCACTGTTGTACACAGAAGCAGCTCCGGCGGATGACGTATGAGTTCAGCGCTGCGCATGCGCCGCTCAGAAGTGACGCACGCAGAAGCGCAGGGGAGAGATCAAAACAAAACAACGGTCACTAATTAGAAGTACAAAACGAGGATTTGTAAAGAAGAATGTCGGAGGATTTCGATATAAGCCAAGAGAAGACTGGTTTTCCTTTGCTAAAGTAAGGAAACTTTGCTTCCTTTGCTCCTGTTAACAAACGTTGGTTTTCAAGAGACTCAC